CCTTTCCAGCCAGATGGCAGGGATACCCATCTTGTGGGGAGGCATATCAGGATTGTGAGGAACATCATGCTTGGGCTTGTGTTTAATTTTTTTAAAATGAAAATTCAACTTTTTTTCAATGGTTGGGATACGCAATGAAAAGATCTGTCTCGGGCTACCTGGTATTGAGGCTGCCTGACAGGTTAATGACTAGAGTTCCCATGATCCCTGGGCAGAGCAGGGCCCAGTATTTGGGGCATTGTGATCCAAACAAGTGATTTTGGGGGGGGCAAGTGATATCAGGACAACTTTATTGCAAAATCATATACTGTAGCATTAAAATAGAACAGAATGCACCAAAATATGTAGGGCAGAAAAGGTTTCTTGAAAAAAAGGTATGTATGTGGATATATACATACTGTATATAAAAATTGAGAGTTAATAATAGAGACCAGGGCTTGCAATTGTGTTTTTAAACTACATTTGTGAAGTGTTTCTTTTTGTGTGTGTGTTTTTGAAAGGGAGCGTGTATTTCCCCCCCTTTCCGCGCACTCCACTGTGGGTGTTGCCAGGGCCCTTTCCAAGATGGCGCCGAGGCGCCCGCCCCTCCCCCCTCGCCGCCTTTGTTCACTGCGGCAAACCGAAGCCGCATTGCCGTCAAGGGCGCGAAAGTAGGTCAGCGTGGCCACGCCCACTTCCTCCCCCCTCCCGCGCAGTCATTGGGGCGGTGGCGCCGAGCCAAGACTGCAGTGGATCAATCGGCCAATCCCCTCGCGAGAGAGGCAGAGGCGGAGCGTGTTGCCCTTGCCAACTGTACCCTCTTTCGCTCTCCCCCAATCATCTTTTTTCTTTTATGCCATGTGATCAAAAAGAAAAAGTGGAGGGGGAGCGGGGTGTTTCTCTTCGCGCTAGCAAAGCTCTCACTCCGCCCCCTTTGTATGAATATTAATTAAGGCCCGACCAATGAAAAGCCGCCATCGTGTATTACCTCATGCCTGAGGGGAGGGGAGGGGAGGGAATGGAACCCGAACCCGGTTCTGCCAAACGGAAGCTCGTTTGCATATTCATACGTAGGCGTGGCCAGGGAGGCCATATATAAGCTAAGGTGCAGGCGGGTGCCTGCGTAGTTCGCGTTGGGACTCTTATAGTGCGTGTTGTCTGTATTAGCTACGAATTTAAATAGGTAAGGGACAGCGGAGGGCGGGCAGGGGGCGCGGCGGAGCGGGCGGAGGAAAAACCTAAACTGAAGAGAAATAGTGGCTTTTAAAAGGCATATTAAATTAAATGAGGGACGAACGGTGGGGCTTTTACTGTGCATCATTTTGTGGCGGGGGCCTTTGAAGCGTTCATGGCGGCGAGAAAATGAAAGGGGCCACAAAATGGCTTCCCGGCCGGCTTTTTTTTTTCATTTTTAATGGAAGGAAGCTTCAAAATGGCGCTGGGGAGAGGATAAGAAAAAGGGAGGCTTGGAGGGCGGCTGTGCGCATGCGCGGGGAAGGGTGGAGGGGCAGAGAAGAGCGGGCGGGGGAAGGGAGGTAGCGCAGCTTGGCGGCGTCTGCGCATGTGCGGGCCGGAGCGGTCTTGTCTCTGTCTCCCACTAGGCGGCGCGTGTCGCGCATGCGCACAATATCGATCCTTTCCCGCCCCTTCCCCCTTGGGAAAGTAGGTCAGTTATACAGTAAAGGGAGAAGCCGCTTAAATGGATTCGTGCCTGGCCTTCGATCGTGGCCAGATATCTTTTTTTTTTTTTTTTTTTTTTTGGGGCAGAATTTTTTTTTTTTTTTTTTTTTTTGCTTCTTTGCCATACCATAAATTAATCATTTTCAACTGAAAATGTGGGTTTCTAGTTTTTAGGCTTTTCCGTGGCCTGCAAATATTTTTGCTGGAAAAAATGGTTTTAAATAAATTATCATGCTTTAGCATGCAGTTTTGTGATCTAGGGCTATAGCCTGGACAGAATGCTTCCTTTGGGACCACAGTTAATTGTTTTTATTTCTTGGTTTTGCTTGCTTTTGTTTCCAGAAGCTTCCCTCTGTTGCTTTAAACAAGCGGAGGTTTCCCCCCAAAGGAAAATGGTTTCCTGGAGGAACTTAAGTGACAGCCTTATCTCCCCACGCTGCATATGGCAGTACTTTGCATTGTGTATAAAGCAGAATAAGTAGAAAACATACTTACAATTAATTATATATATTTACATATATAATGCAATGAGGAAAACAGGAGCAGAGTAGTAAAATGCAGAAAATACAGCAGCTCAAGCTTTGATGAGTGTGCCAATTGGCCTGCCTAGATTTCCACCCACCAACAAGTTGGAGAGAAATATAGTTTATTCAGTGTTCTGACTAAACTGAGTTTGTTTTTGCTTGCAGGAAAAATGGCATCAGATGAAGGCAAACTCTTTGTTGGTGGGCTGAGCTTCGACACTAACGAGCAGTCTCTGGAGCAGGTTTTCTCCAAATATGGACAGATATCTGAAGGTAAAATAAAGTTGCAGATGACTGTAGTTTGGTTTTCTTTATTGTGTAGCCACAGGCAGACAGAAAAGTAGTTTAATTTATCTTGGTTAAGAAGAAAGCAGCTTTCTTAATGTCTGTGTTCATCTGGAATTTAACTCTCGATGGCTTAAATATTTTATTTTCTTCCTTCTAGTTGTTGTTGTAAAAGACAGAGAAACCCAGAGATCCAGAGGGTTTGGCTTTGTTACTTTTGAGAACATTGATGATGCAAAGGATGCAATGATGGCCATGAATGGAAAGGTGAGGATCTCCTTTATGCAGGGACAGCTATAAATATAACAGGTCAAGGCTTTGGCAGGACAGTCTTTTGATGATAAGAAAACTGGCATAATTGCATTTTTGTGATGGTTGCAAGTGAAGAAGCCTTTAGCTTCATGCATTTTAAAAAATGTTTTATGAAAAGTGTAATTTTGATAGAGGTGGATGGTTAAGCAATTTATACACCAAAGATTTAATTCTGAGGCACTTTATTTCCAGTCTGTTGATGGCCGCCAGATCAGAGTGGACCAAGCAGGCAAATCGTCTGAGAACAGATCCCGTGGTTACAGAGGAGGCTCGGCTGGAGGCAGAGGCTTTTTCCGTGGGGGCCGAGGGCGGGGTCGGGGCTTCTCGAGAGGTAAGCTTGGGGTTTTGCATGTGTGTTTATTTGATTGTGGCTTCTTGCATGCCTCTCACCTTCTGTGCGCTTTCTTCCAGGAGCTGGTGGAGACCGAGGCTATGGTGGTGGCAGTAGGTTTGAATCCCGGAGTGGGGGATACAGTGGATCCAGAGACTACTATGGCAGCAGGTACATGCCAGGGGAATGAAGTATGTCATGTAGCTTGAGAAGAAGGTGCCAAGCTAGGCAATGTGTGGTCGTGGACATGCCTTTTAAGCAGTGTTGTTTTGTTTTTTCTCCTTTAATTCTTGTCCTAGCAGAAGTCAAGGCAGTTACAGTGACAGACCTTCAGGCGGTTCCTACAGAGACAGTTATGACAGTTACGGTAAGTCTTTGCTCATGAGGGAGAGGTGGATACAGTGAGATGGGACTGCGTGGAGCCGTTTTTGATCTTGCAGTGATGACCTTGGAAAGTCCTGTAAGGCTTGCGTGGAGCCTCTTGCTTGGCAGCCTGGCCTTGTCCATGAGAAGTATCGCTCTTTTGATGGCACATCTTTATAGCATTTGTGCCGTGGAAGGCAGAAGGGAAAAAAGACCCTTTCCTACCCCCCTCTTCCTGGTAATGCATGTGTTGCTCTGGTCAGAGCAACGTATACCTACTTAGAAAGCATTTCCTGAAACTAATAACGCCAGAGATTCCCTCAAGCAAATAGAGAATACAAGGGGTGGGAAAGAGAGGAGGATAGGAGGAGGAGGTAGCCTTTTTAGGTCTTGGCAAACAAGTAGGGGAGGAAAAAATGCTGGAACTTTTCTGTGCTTCAGTGCCTTTACAACTCTGCCTGCTTCTTGTCCTCAGCTACACACAACGAGTAAAAAACCTACCTGGCTCAAGATCGTCCTTCCAATGGCTGTATTTATAAAGATTTTTGGAGCTTCGCTGAAACCGTTCTTGTGTAGTCATCTCCTTTGTATTCTCACTTTTGTAGTAAACTTGCAGTTCTGACCTTGTCAAACAAAAGCAAAACAAACCCACAGCCTGACAGCTTCTAATATGTAACGGTCTGTTCAGACCCAAAGAAAGCTCTGGGTTTTTCCCCTCTCTCAAGTGTTTTAAAGTTTTTTTTAAAAAAGCCCTAAGAATTTTAGTTCACTTGTGAGCAGCATATGTGCGCGTGTCTTAATTTTTTTTAAAGAAAAAAATTGAAGGTTTGGGGGCCCTATTTTTTGTTCTGGACAAGAAAGGACTTTAACTGTTCTGTAGAAGCTGACCAAGCTGTGAACTCAGTTTTCTGTTAGTGCATCGCTCTGTAACATGAACTTTAGGTGTAGCAAGGTAGGCATACTGTAGCCTGGGCACGAATTTTAAAAGGCCACCCACCCACCTTGATATATCTAAAGGGATTTCTTGCTTGTATGTTCATCCTGCAATTAAGAGACTTTAACTTGTATGCCATAAAACGTAACTCAGAGAGACTCTGCTAATCTTAACCATGCAAGAGGTTCATGGAAAAAATGTTTGTTTTTATTGTCCTTTTTTTACTGAAAGAAAAGTAATGCCTAATTCAATTGATGTTGTAATTTTGAAGTGGTGAAAAGGATTTCTTGTACAGTTTTTCTTTGGCTTCACGAAGCCTATTAAAGGTCCATCTGAAAACCAATCGCTTTGCTCTGGAAATCGTACCTCTCTTGCTGCACCACACACATTTGTGGATGATGGTGGAAAAAAAGAAGCATAGCTGGGTTAGGAGAGGCCAAGAGAGCAGAAAGCTGGATTGAAGAAGAGCTTGTGAGGCCCAGGGTGGTGGTTGGAAGAAAAAAGTGTGAGGTCCATCCTGCTGTAATTTAATGACAATATTTTACAAGCTTGAGGGTGATGCTAGATGTAGTCTCAGCATAGGGACTTTGTCCTTAAATGGGGACTGGCTGAAGTTTGGCTGGACTTGATCCAACCTTTGCAACTTGCCCTTGACTTCCACGCATTCTCTGGTAGTGTGCTTAGAAAGCGAGTTCCTTGGCTGGCTGGCGATCATGGCAGGATCATACTCAGGGGACAGAGAAGTAGTAGCTGACACCTTTGCTAGCTTGGAAGCCAGTCTCAACATTTTAGTCTCCCCACAAAATCTCTTGCTGTTAACTGGGGGTCAGCATCTGGTCATCTTTGACAGGGTTCCAAGGCGGAAAACTGACCTAATTTAGTTAGCTTTGTCGTTGCCTTCTAAGTATTCTCTGCTAGCGTATGGAAAACAGCAGTGCCTTGGCCGAGAAAGAAGTGTTTGTGCCTTCAACACAAAGAACCTCTGAGACGAAAGCTGCTCTCTTGCCTAGTTCATATGTGGGGATAGTCCTGTAATAAGAGGTAACTCTTTTCCTCATGTCCGCATCCTTCCTCCTGTCGAGAGCTCATATTATATATATGTATATATAATTTTTTTTTACAAAAGTCTGCCTTCACCCACGCAAAATTTTATGGCCTGTTTTGGTCAGCATAACTTGTTTTTACAAAGTCCTCTATTGAGTCTGGCTTTTGTGGCATAAAAAAGGGGTGCGTGGGCACATCCATTGTCCTTGTCAAAGATTTAAGGGGAATGGGTTCCCCCCCAAGTGGTTATACGTTCTCTGGAGATTCTTCCTTAAGATTTTAAGTCACTTAACGTTCTTTGCCATTTTGTTTGTGTTTTAACTTTTCCCCCATAGCCCACACTGTTCCCAAGCAACCTTTGCCAACAGAGTGACTAACTGCTTTTTATGGAATTGCGTTCCGAGGGAGGCGCAGTTAATCTCGGAGGACTTTTGGCCCATACTGGGCTCTTGAGAGTCATTCCGGGTTCCCACAGACGGTTTCGTGAAAAGCAAGCCCTTTTGTAGAAAACAATGCTTGTGCTTTTTATAGTAGGGGGGTGGGCAGGGTAGCAAAAGGGATAAAGGGTAGTGCATCCAGCCATGCAAGAGCATCTTTTGGTAACGCGTGTTTGTCTTGACAGGTTGAAACGGAAAAGGACCACTAGAGGACAAAATCTGGCTTTGTGAGGCTGAAGGGAAAAACACCTGAATCTCCAATCAGTGTTGTGAGCAGGTACGGGCTTAGGGGTGTTTTTTTTCCCAGCATTTAAAAAAAAACTTGAAAATTAATTTATTCCAAAAACGTTGAATTTTTGCTTTGAATTTGAATGTGGAGTTCCTGCGTCTCACATCTTCTGTTACATCTCAGTTGTAACTTTTAACTCTTATTTCAGCTGGATGCTGCTTAGAAGAGGAGCGGTATGGATTCTGGTGCCTGCAGGCAGTGCAGGGACAGGTTCACGAGGATGATGATGTGTGCGTTTTTGATGGCTGATTTTACCATGAATGGCATGTACAAAAATAAATAAATATGGGATGAAAACACCGTTGAGTTGTTCCTTCACATGTTTTGTAAGAAGTCACGGAGCAAAAGGTTAAGGGGGGGAGACCTCTGGCCCCCTTCCCGCAGTTCTTTAGGAAAGCCACTCCGAAAGGAGGGCAGGCCATTGGCCTGGGAGCGTCGCCTCAGACATTAATGCTTAGGCGGTGGCAGCTTTCCAAGGGCAGCCAGCTAGCAGCAGCAGCAAGGCGACGGGTGAGCCGAGGGCTCGCTCGGAACACAGCAGGCTTTCTTTTTTAGGGCTGGAAGCACAAGTGTTGCAGAGCAGAAACGGCTGGGTGCTCATCCCCCCCCCTTGCTCTCCAGCAGCAAAGGGAATTGCAGTGGTTTAGTTTGGGAGGCCCTGCGGCGCCCTGTTTTTATCACAAGTATGGGATTCGCTGTGGAAATAGGAAAGCGACTAGATGGTCGGGGCCTCCTTGGCTCGGCTCCCAAGGCATGGCCAACCCTAAACATGAGCGCTGCTGGTGCAGCCCTTGAAGGCCTATGGTTTCCCCCCTACTGTCACGGGAGCCGCTGGGCCGCCTAGGCATTTGCCTGTTGGGTCTCGGACCGGCACGGGCTTTTTCAGGGCCCCCAGCCTGCACTTGGGTGACAGCCTCAGCAGGGGAATGTAAAAGGGGGGGGGAGTGACAAGCTGCCCGTGAATGGTGAGCCAAATGAGGTGGAGAAAGATACTTCTTGATGAGGTGGTAGCAAAGGGATTACCTGGAGTGAAGAAAGTCAGTTTTAAGAGCATGATCATTTGGGGGATGGTGGTTGAGCTGGGCTACACACTGAGACTTTGAGGGGCAGGCAGGGAAGGGAGGGGCTGAGCCCCATCCAGGCTTTCCCACATGACTGATGGGGGCGTCGCAGCCTTCAGTTCTGCCCAAAGGAGAAAGGCAAGAAAAGCAACCTGGAGGCCTTGCTCCTTGCTTAGCACCCCCTCCCCAGTCTATAGCCAGGCTTTGCGGTGGGAGACTTGAGTAGAACATTGCCTCATGTTTCAGCTGACGTAAAAGGTTCATGGTAAGTGTAGACCGTTGCACACCTTGGATAATGACTGTCTCAAGATCGACGTGCAATAAGGAGCCAGGACTAGGCAGAGTCATTCCACGCCTCTTGATAGAAAAATAGGGAGTTTTAGCTTTTGCAGGGAAGCTGTTGCCGCCTGCTTGCTGTCGGTGGAAGCTTTCTAGCTTTTTAAGGACTTCAATTAGATGTTGGGTTTCTAGGGGGGGAAAGAAGAAGAAAAAGGAGGGCAACAAGCAGGATCGGGACTGGAAACTGAGCACTAACAGGAAAGAAAGGTTTCTAGGGGTTTAGAAATTTGAGGTGTCCACAACTCTCTGTTTACAAAGGTTAGTTGATAAGCTGTTGGGCTCAATCCCTCCCCACGAGGTGAGCAACCAGCAATACCAAAAATACGAATCTTTTTCTTCTCCCTAATCTAGCAAGATACACCTGAAAAAAAAAGCCCAAGTGTGGATATTTTTTTGGGAAAAATGCATTTAAACCATCTCCCCCCCCCCCCCCCCCGTGTTCATTGAAGGCGTGTTCTGCCTCCACACTATAGATGGAGTGGCCTTAATCTGTTCCCCTCCAGATCGCTTTCGACCTGAGCTAGCCTTTTTCCAGCTGGCTCTTGCCCGGTGGGGCTGCCTGGCCCATAAAGAAGTGCCTCTGCCCGCCAGGGTTTGATCTGGAACCCTTCCCAGTCCATTGGGACAAGGGCTCCCACAAATCTGGAAAAGGATAATATGGGGGGGGACAGGAGGGCAAGAGGCACGGCTGCTCCCTCTGGCTCTTTTTTTGGGGGGGCCAAATTGTCACGTGGCAGGCGGTGGAGGAAGTCCTGAACCTCCCTCTCCTGACAGCAGAAAAAGAGGATGCTGCCACCATCATGTCATCCATGGTGATGGGTCTTTCCCACAAGAGGGTGCTTTAGGCCAAGAGGTTGGATAATAAGCTTTATTAACCCTACTCCTAAATGGCCGGTCTCCTTGCTAGGAAAAATGGGGGGGGGGAGCTGGGCCAAACCCTTCCAGCCTTTGGGACCTCTGGGATAAAGGATCTCACCGTGGGCGTTGGTGGTGGTGGGGAATCCTCAGGGACAGGTTTTTCCTCAAGACTGGAACCCTCTGCCCATGGAAGCTCAGCTAGGCTGGCGAGGGAAACATCACTGAAGGCCCAAGATTGTCCGGGTGGTATTTCCAATTTACGATGACAGATCCGAGCACATGGACAAGGATGGAGAAAGTAAATTATGGAGGGTGGGTGGGTGGAAGTCTGGCTCCTTTGCAGCATGATGCTGAACTCTTGATGGGACGCCACAGCTTGTGGAAAGATAAGGGGTCCCGGGTTCAGGTGAAGCCCAAATTCCCTCGAAGGAAGCTCAGACCGTAAACCTCTGAGCGTCTCCAAAGGCAGGGGGGGTCCCTGGGAGAGAAACTCCCTCTTGCTGGGAAAAGGGGGGAAGGCAGCAGGGAAAGAGGAAGAGCCCCATGTGAGACAGACCGATTCCCTTGAGGAATCCACGGACTTAAATCTGGAAGGGCCCAGCTGGGAGGTGGACGGGGCTTTGTGGAGGTTGCCTCTTCACAGGGTCAAACCCCCCCCCCCATTTGTGTCCAGTTTAATGGTTCAAATCCAAAATATTGAGGGTTTTTTTTTGGGGGGGGTGACTTTCCAAAACCCAGCAGCAGAGGTGGGGGGGAGAAATGGCAACCGCCTGTAGTGATTGAAATGTGGGCCTTTTTAAAAGGCCGGATTGAAGAGGGGTCACCTGTCGGAAGACCCTAGAAACGCTCCTGGCGCTCAGTCAGGCGGACAAGAGAAGGGAACACAGAAGCAGCCGCCTTCCTTTTTATCCACCTCTCTCTTCATATCGGGGGGGGGGGGGGGACTTCTAGGGGGGGAATTGAGGGTGGAAAGATGCCGCCTCATGGCATCGCTTGTTGTCACTCTCGGGCTTTCTCTGCAGCAACTGTAAATTTTATATATATATTATATACATATATATTTTCCACCTCTGCTCCCTTGCTGATTTTGCAACAGGGTCTGGCTGTGAAAAATCAAAGCTTGCACTCTGCACCTCCTCAGAGGAATCGTCTTCCTCAGTTCCAGGTCCATGCATGTTCTGCACCTGTGGGTGTATCTCAAGTCCCTGGAAAGTAAATACCAATTTTATCAGCCCAAGTCTCTGTTTTTTGTCTTTCGCCATCAAGTACCTGCAAAGACTCTGTGGATCCTGGGAGCTGCTGTTGGTCTGCTTCT